ACCTCACTCCCTTGGCCTGGTGGGCCCTCTTCCTCTCCCTCTTGGGCATGGCAGCCCTGCCCCCTCACTCGGGCAGCGGCATTGACACCTTCCTACTAGCTCACATGAACGAGTGGCCCCACACTCCAGAACCAAGTTGGTAAAGGTCTGGTTCTTTGAAACCTAGGGGGCTGTGGTGGTTCCACCCCCAAAAGCCATGATCCTACCCTTGAGGCTGAGGCAGCTCTGGTTCCCATTTCCTTGGTCTCTCTGCTTCAGCCGATTAATGCCAAAGGCAACTCACTCCACAGGAAATCTTCTTGCCCAAAAAATACTAAGCTTTCTTGTTCCGTGGGCCAGCCAACCTGCTAGTCCATTTCATGCTGCCTTTTTTACCAATTAACGCCTGAAGGCAACACACTCTGCCAGGAAACCGCCTACCCAAAGGCATCCAGCTTTCTCCTCCATGGTCTGGTAAGGCTGTCACTGTCTCATGCCAGTCTTTGGGCTCTACTCCTGCTATCTCTCATGCCGGTCTCTTGGCTCTGCTTCTGCTGTTTCTCATGCTGTATGCCAGGGTCTTGGGTCAAGGATGCACTCCACTCCTGTTTCCACATTTTAGGTCAGAGCAGCACCCTACACTCTAGGTACCGTATTCTGTTCTGGTTACCTAGTGCCACTCTAACAGGAATACCACAAATGGGATGACTTTAACAAGAGTTTATTCTTACAATTTGGAGGTTTTAAGTCCAGGTTCACAGTGCCAGGCTCTAGGGGCTGGGTGAAAGCCCATCAGCCTTGAGCTTCAGTTCTGCCTCCTGCTCCTAGCCCAATGGAGCTAGAGGCTTTTCTTCACTCAGACAGCTGCTAGCTGCTGAGGCTGAGAAGCCCAAGGTTGACAAATAAAAAGGCACAGTCCTGATGTTATCAAACCAGATGGCAGGCCATTCATTCAGGTTCATTGAAAGTCCCAAGGTCAACAGAACATGGCAGGCTGCTGAACAATGACACAGCTGCATGCAGGGTTCAAGTGTGCTATGAGCTAGAGACCATTCCCAAAGCTGTTTCTTATATACGGGAAGCAGCTACTCAGCTGCTCACAGTAGATTCCACCATGGAGTTGATTACCAGTCTTATCATAGGGAATACTTTATCCAGCTGCTCAGCCACTCAACCAGGCCCAGCCAAGTTGACACTCAAGCTTAACCACCACAACAATTAAATATATTTATATATAATAATAATCTTTAAAAACCAAATTGACAATAATATATAATTACTACAAATGCCCAGCTTCTGGAATTAATGCTAAAAATCACTGAAAGATTAGGGACTCTACAGAAATTAGCCACTTGGGCAGCATGATTTGGAAAATGCTTATAATTTGGTAATTATGAAAAATAGACAAATCAAATGTTTAAACTACAAAGTTCAATCCTTTTTCCCAATGTTATTTAAAGTAAACATTTTGTTTTTGTTATGGTCTTCAAATTTTTCACACTGTCTTGTGAATTCATGCATGCTGTTGCTGTTGTTAGGTTCCGTCGAGTTGGCTCCAACTCATAGCAACTGCCCAGTCCTATGCCAGCCTCACAATCCCTGCTAAACCTGAGCCCATCATTGCAGCCACTGTGTCAATCCATCTTGTTGAGGGCCTTCCCCTTTTTCATGGACCCTCCACTTCACCAAGCATGATATCCTTCTCCAGGAAATGATTCCTTCCAAAGTAGATGAGACGAAGTTTTGTAATTCTTGCTTCCAAGGAGCATTCTGGCTGCACTTCTTCGAGAACATATTTGTTTGTTCTTTTGGCAATCCATGGTACTCTCAGTATTCTTCTACAACACCACAACTCAAAAGCATCAACTCTCCTTTGGTCTTCCTTATTCATTTTCCAGCTCTCACATGTATAAGAGGTGACTGAAAATACCATGGCTTGGGTTAGGCACACCTTAATCTTCAAGGAAACATCTTTCCTCTTCAGCATTTGAAAGAGGTCTTTTGCAGATTTGCCCAATGCAGTACATCTGATGCCTTGACTGCTGCTTCCACTGGTGTTGATTGTAGAACCAGATAATACAAAGTCTTTGACAACTTCAGTCTTTTCTCCATTTATTGTGATGCTGTTTATTGGCCCAGTTGTGAGGATTTTTGTTTTCTTTATATTGAGGTATATAATCATACTGCAGACTGTAGTCTTCAGACTTCATCAGTAAGTGCTTCAAGTCATCCTCACTTTGAGCAAGCAAAGTTCTGTCGTCTGCTTACCACAGGTTGTCCATGAGTCTTCCTCCAATCCTGATGCCACACTCTTCTTCATGTAATCCAGCTTCTTGGATTAGCTTCTTGGATTAGCTCAGCATACAAATTGAGTAAGTATGGTGAAAGCATACAACCTTGACACACTCCCTTCTTGATTTTAAACCATGCAGTATCACCTTGTTCTGTTCAAGCAAGAGCCTCCTGATCTGTATACAGGTTCCTCATGAGTACAATTAAGTGTTCTGGAACTCCCTTCTTCTCAATGTTATCCATAATTTGTTTTGATCCACACAATTGAATGCTTTTGAATGTTTTACATAAGTAAACATCTTTCTGCCATTCTTTGCTCTCAGCCATAATCCATCTGACATCAGCGATGATATCCCTCATTCCATGTCCTCTTCTGAATCCAGCTTGCATTTCTGGAAGTTCTCTGTCAATACACTGCTGCAGCCGTTTTTGAATTATCTTCAGTAAGATTCTACTTGCGTGTGATACTAATGATATGGTTTGATAATTTCCACATTCTGTCGGATCACCTTTCTTAGGAATGGGTACAAATATGGATCTCTTCCAGTCACTTGGCCAGGTAGCTGTCTTCCAGATCTCTTGGCATAGCTGAGTGAGTGCCTCCAGTGGGGCATCCATTTGTTGAAACATCTCAATGAGTGAATACTCATCAATTCCTGGAGCCTTGTTTTTTGCCAATTCCTTCATGCAGCCTCGACTTCTTCCTTCAATACCATTGGTTCTTGATCATATGCCACCTCCTAAAATGGATTAACATTATCCAATTCATTTTAGTACAGTGACTCTTTGTGTTCCTTCCATCTTCTTTTGATGCTTCCTGTATCATTCAATGTTTGCCCACAGGGTCTTTCAATATTGCAACTTGAAACTTGAATTTTTCCTTCAGTTCTTTCAGCTTGAGAAATGTCGAGCGTTTTCTTTCCTTTTGATTTTCCAACTCCAGGTCTTTGCACATTTCACTATAATTGGCTTTGTCTTCTTGAGCTGCTCTTTGGAATCTTCTGTTCAGCTCTTTTCTCTTGTCATTTCTTCCATTTGCTTTAGCTACTCTTCATTCAGGGGCAAGTTTCAGAGTCTCTTCTGACATCCATTTTGGTCTTTTCTTCCTTTCCTGTCTTTTTAATAACCTCTTGCTTTCTTCATGTATGATGTTCTTGATGTCATCCCACAATTTGTCTGGTTTTCAGTCATTGGTGTTCAGTGCATCAAATCTATTCTTTAGATGGCCTCTAAATTCATGAGGGATATAATCAAGGTCAGATTTTGGCTCTCATGGACTTTCATAGCCTTCATTTATGTTCTTAAAAAAAGATACTTGCAATGCAAAAGTCATTGGTCTTGCAAAATGCCATCATGCATTCTCCAGTGTTATTTCTATCACTAAGGCCATGTTTTCCAGCTACCAGTGATTCTTCTTTGTTTCCAACTTTTGCGTCCCAGTCACCAGTGATACTCAACACATCTTGATTGCATGTTCAGTCAATTTCAGACTGCCGAAGTTGGAAAAATCTTCTATTTCCTTATCTTTGGCTTTGGTGGTTGGTGCATAAATTTGAATAATAGTAGTATTAATGGTCTTCCTTGTAGGCATATAGATATTATCCTATCACTGACAGCATTGTACTTCATGCATGCTTACATCCATTTTTTTGCTTCTGATAATAAATTTCATTTAAAAATTAAATTGTATTTCCCACTGAAACAGTGTTACATATTTTGCTTGACTATATTTTACGATGATAGTTCTGCCCCAATTCCTTTCATCATTTAAAGCTTGGTTATCGCAAGTGTGTTTACATCACTAAAGCCTTGTATATTTTAACAATGATTATAAATTCTTTACATAGAAGTTTGCAATGATACTAGCTTAGAGAGGAAGTTTTAATTGTGGTACTTAGACAAAAAATAGGCAAGATCCTTTTTATATATGTTATATCTAGTTAAATCAGTGAGTATGATCTATTCAGCCTAATTGAAACTGAACTATAGTAGGTCTGAATAATAAAGTAATATTCATTTCTTCCACTGTGTAGGAAGGAGAACCCATACCTGTATGTACCATTCCTCCTCCTCCTCTCCTTGTAATGACTGTACCTTGCCAACTTACCTAAGTCAGAGGAGTTTGGGAACAGTATTCTAACTGGCTTTCACATAATATCCCTGTTTGTGTTGTATATGAGAGATGGTAGAGCAAAGTGATTAAGAATGGAGGCTCCAGAGTCAATCAGATGACTCTGAGTTCAAATCTCAGCTCTATTACCCACTAGCTATTTGAAATCCATGTGTTTCCTCATCTGTTTTTGTTTTGTTTTGTTAAGAAGAAGCAATAATAATAGTAGTACTTAACTCACAAGGTTGTTAAAATTGAAATGTTATTGTTGTTGTCAGGTGCCACTAAGTCAGTTCTGACTTGTAGCAACCCTATGTACAACAGAAATTGAGATAATCCATGTAAATTGCTCTGCCAGTTTTCTGGCAGCCCGTAATAAGTGCTCTAGCTACCAGTGTCTTCACCTACCACTGTCAGAGGGTGGTAATTAGGAAAAGGGAAAAGGAAGCAGTAAGTGAAGGCTTATCAAGAGAAGACTTGTGAGTTATAAGAAGCAGCCAGATAAGGCTGTAGTTTAAGGGGTTCAGGAGGGAAGAAGGATTTAAGATGAAACCAGAACTAAATAGAACCAGTACTTCAGTGCAAATGTTCCCTAACTGGTTCTCTTTGATTCTTCTAGAAAGCCATGTCCTGCCACCACAGCCAGCTCCTCTGGTTCCGCCACCTCTATGTTTTCTTCTCCCGGTACATGAGAATCAACTCGCTGCACTTCCTCTGAAGCCCTGAATTATTTTGAGATACAAGGAACCAAGGGTGAAAGGATCAGGAAACCTGGGGATCTGCCTTTATTGCCCTGAGGCAAAAGAGGAGGGGCTTCATCTATGTCAGCTCATTTAATCCCTAATAAAAAGGACAGCATGCAGGGCAATGGTCTCTCCAAACCTGAGCTTCTCCTCTGGGAAAAAAGAAACACACAAAGGATAATAATAGCTATTCTGCTAACTTGTAAGTTTCTTGTGAAAAACAAATTACATAATGACATGATGTATGTAAAACATCTAGCACAGAGTCTGGCACATTGTTAGTGCCTAATAGCAGCTATTGTAAATGAATATGAAATTGTTCTGGGAACTGAGAATACTTTACAGATGTGATTCAGTGTTTTTACATTGTTTCCAAAGATGGGTGTACCACATACACAGTCTTTATTGAATTAGTTAACCATAATTTCTTTGATTTATCTTTGTGGCTTTTTTACCATAATTTGATCAATTTTCTAGGGAAAACTTAATTGTATTTAACACTGTAGTCATTTATTGGAACACCCTCTGTAGCTCACCGTGATGGACACTGGTTTATGAAGAGATGATTATATCATAGGACCTGCCTTCAAGGAGCTTTCAGTCGGAAATCCCCACTCTCAATCTTTTGGGAACAGTAGGAAATAGGTAGAAGCCTGACACTTTTTTTTAACACTCAAGAACCTTAAAATTACCTTACAAACAAAAGCCTTCTGTGAAATCAACCTCAGAACTACCCCCAAAGGCTCAGTAATGGTCCAGGGAAGTGGCAAAAGGCAGTGCCTTTCAGTAGTAAAGAGCACAGCCTCTGTAGACATGTGACCCTAGGTTTGAAACCACAAGCAAGATGCTTAACCTTTCTCTGACCTCAGTTCTTTCATCTACAAAATGGAGATAATAATGGTCTGATAGCAGTGCCTAAGGCATTTCACTGCTAACAGAAGGCTGGCAGTTCAAACCCACCAGTCACTCCTCTGAAGACTGGGCAATCTACTTCTGTAGAGATACCACCTTGGAAACCCAAGAAAGGGTTGCTGTGAGTCAGGACCGATTCAATGGCAGTGTTTGATTTTTGGTAACTTCAGAGGACTGAATGAGATGATGCATGAAGGAGTATAGCAAAGTGTCCAAGACGCACACAGTAAGCGTTCAGAAAATATTGGCTGCTGTGAGTATTCTGAGACCTAAATGGTAAATAGGTATTAAGCAGAGGCAGCAGCATTAGTAAGACAGAAAACATCTTGGCATGCATTATCCACTGAGGATTCCCTCTACCAGCCTTTGCCTGTCAGATCCTGAAGTTCTGACTTGCTTTCTCCATAGCAACAGGTAAGAGCCCTTCTTGTCTCTCCACCCAAATATGCTGCACTTTGCCAAGTATCACCAATATCTAGAATGTTTCCTAGGGGCTAAATGAGACTGACAAAGCTATTATGCCCTGAAGCTAGAATCAAAAATGCAAATCTTGTTATTTGTCTACTTAAAATGAGTCAGTAGCTCCTAATAGCCTTCATAGTAAAATAGGGCCTCTAACAAGCCATTAACAGGGCTAGAATATAGTAGGACAGGCTGACTTCTATCTCCTGCTAAGAAGACCCAACACTGACCCAGACTTCCTGAAAAGCAATTTCAATATATACTAAGAGCTTCTAAAACTCATACTCTATGACATGAGGATATATTTAGAAATGCAAAAGTATATATACAAAGATCATCATATTATTTATAATAGAAAAACTGGAAAGTACAAGTGATACTATTATATTTCATGACAAAAATGTTCATATAGCTAAATTTTAAATAGTACAATCCCACTTATATATACATATATTTGGTAAGGTCATTTTACTATAATAAACATTTATAAATTTAAAATATTTTTTGTTTATGAATAATTTTGATGTGAAAAAATTTTTCTAATATAATGTGTGATTTTAAAATAAATGTATATAGCCAGTATAAAGGAGCTCTTGTAGCACAGTACCTAAGGCATCTGACTGCTGAAAAAAATCACTAAGACTAGATGTTGGTTTTTTGAAAAGATTAATAAAATTGACAAACCACTGGCAAATTTAACAAAGGAAAACAGGGAATACAAATAAACAAATTGGGTGACACCACAACACTACCAACAGAAATTATCAGGATACTATGAAGAAATATGCTCCAACAAATTTGAAAATCTAGAAGAAATGGACAGATTTCTAGAAACATACTACTTACCTATACAGAGGCAGAAGTGGAAAATTTTGAACAGACCCATAACAAAAGAAGAAATTGAACAGGTCATTTAAAAAAAAAAAAAATCCTGGACCAGATGGTGTCGCTGGAGAATTCTACCGAATGTTCAGAGAACTGACACTGATCCTAGTCAAATTATTCCAGAACACAGAAAAGGATGGAATCCTCCCAAATTCATTTTATGAAGCAAGCATAACCGTGGTACCAAAACCAGGGAAAGACATCACTGAAAAGGAAAACTACAGACCAATATTCCTCATGAATATAGATGCAAAAATGTTCCAACAAAATCCTAGCCAGTAGAATCCAACAACACATCAAAAAGATCATACTTTTTGACCAAATGGAGTTCATACCAGGTATGCAAGGGTAGTTCAACATTAGGAGAACAATTAATGTCATCCATCACATAAATAAAACAAAGGAAAAGAACCACATGATCATATCAATCAGTGCAGAAAAGGCATTTGATAAAATCTAACACCTATTCCTGATAAAAACTGTCAGCAAAAATAAGAATAGAAGGAATATTCCTCAACATAATAAAGGGCATAGGTGCAAAACCAACAACCAACATTGTTCTCAGTGGACAGAGACTGAAAACCACTTGCAGATGCCTGCCATTACCACTTCTATTCAACATTGTGGTGGAAGTCCTAGCCGGAGCAATAAGGCAAGAAAGGGAAATCAAAGGCATCCAAATTGGTAAGGAAGAAGTCAAACTATCCCTACTTGCTGATGATATGATCCTATACCTAGAAAACCCCAGAAAAACTCTCATTGCCATCAACTCAGATCCAACTCATAACAACCCCTCCTCCGGTTTCCAAGGCAGTATCACTACGGATGTAGATTGCCCAATCTTCCTTCCAAGGAGTGGCTGGTGGGTTTGAACCTCCAGCCTTCTGGTTAGCAGTCAAATGCCTTAGGCATTACACTACCAGAGCTCCTAGAAAACCCAAGAGATTCAGCAAAAAAACTACTAGAATTAACTGAGAGATTTAGCATAGTGGCAGGATACAAGATCAACATACAAAAATCAGTTGGATGCCTCTACACCAGCAAAGAGATTGCTGAAAAGGAAATAAGGAAATCAATTACCATTTACAGTAGCTACCAACAAAATAAAATACTTGGGGATAAATCTCACTAGGGACACAAAAGACTTGGAAAGAGATCCCTGCAGGAGATCCTACATAGAGTGGGAAAACAATGTGGAACAAAACTCAAAATCATAAAAAAGACCAGGTATACTGGTCTGATAGAGCTTCGTGAGACCATGGCCCCTAGTTACCCTTCAGGCCTAGGATTGAACTCATTCCCATAGCTTCCAGCCAAACTATAGACAGGCATATAGGGTGAACATTTACATCAGATAGATACACCTTAGAATGATCAATCATAGGAGAACACAGGCATTATTTGCACAGGGAGATAGCTCAGGGGCAGGAATGCATAGGAAAGGACACAGGGAAGAGGTAAATACAGGGAAGATGTAGGAAGAGAGCTGTTACATTGTGGGGATTGCAATCAATATCATGAAACAAAATGAGTGTGGACTGCTGTATGGAAAATGAATTTGCTCCGTAAACTTTCACCCGAATCACAATAAAAATATTTTTGAAAATGTGGTATCACAAATAAGCTAGAAAGTAATTTTTGAAAAAGTTATACCTTATGGGATCTATATCCAGATAATTTGTAGTCTTGTATACTTTTATTTTTAGAAAAGATTGAAAATAAGTGAACTACATGATTCAGTTTAAAAAAAAGCAACTATATAAACCAAAGGAAAATAGGAAGAGAATTTTGGTACAGATGAAAGATAAAAATGAATGAAACAAAAATATGCTAAAAAGGATGTTTTCTTTGAAAAATCAAACAAAATTAGCCAACATCTGGCAGGTATAATTTAAAAAAAGAAAACCAAAGTACAGTTGTTGAGAACAGAATAGGTATGTAGCTATAAAAATTAAAATGAAAAAAAGGTAAGAGATTATATGCAACTCTGTGACAACAAAACTGAAAATCCCATGGAAATTAATGGCTAGATCTGACTACAGCAAAACCCTATTATAACATAATAAGTAGATACCAAACATTTTAATCCCATAAAATGCAAGGTTGCATTATTATAAGATTAATGAACAGCATCATCTTTCAATCTTCCAGTGATTTTGCATCAAGTATGCGCATCAAGACCCAGAGGTGGTGTTGCCACATTGGTGTTTCCTATAGCAGGCTGCTGCTTTGCTTTCTAGCCTAATGCTAGGAGGGAGTGAAGATAACCTGTGCAGCACACCTCAAAGCCCAAGACCAAACACAAAACTGGGATGGGCATAAAACCAGGCCAAGTAAATGGTAAAGGAAAGGGAGATGAGGCAGGGTTTGTATAGGATTTGGACCCTAAGAATAACCTATAGTAACATGGTAGTTGGCTCCTTCCACTGGAAAGCTTGAGATTGTTCCTTTTATTGAGTCCTTGCAAAGTAAAGAGTGTTTCTCATTGAACAGAACCAATCCCAATTAGTCATTAGGTGCCACTTCCAAATCTTTCATACCTATACCTTAGTGAAAGCTTTAGCCCACCCATATGTAGGATTAGGGACTAGGCAGGGAATTGGTACTCATTGACAAGTAGAATATATCCAGTAGCAAGGCACCTTATTAATGAGATTTCACTTGACTAAAAATTACTTTAAAAGTACATTTGAACAGACCTAATAACCACAGAAGA